CCGTAATTAAACGTTTAGAAACCTGAACACATAAAATTTCCTAATTCTAGGTCGACAACAGACCTTAGATCTAATCATATAATAGCATTTGAAATAGTCAAACTAAGGTATGCTATAATTCAAACCATTTAGCACATAAAACCAGATTAGGCATCTTATACTACAATGAGTTAGTGCTTGTGTTAATTCAAGTGTATTATCTAAATTATAATGGATACACATCTCACGATCATTACTTAGAATTCTATGTTTAAGTCTATAAATCCTACAAATTCTTAGTTCACTTAAACTAATGCTCTGATACCAACTGTGACATCCTCATTTTTACGGCAAAAATATCGATTTGTTTATGATTATTAAATCAAAGTATTCTTTTAAAAAGATTACTTATATGGAATTTATCCCACAAACATGATAACATTATAATCTTTCAACCCACAACATTATAATCTTTCATTATCCATATATAGTTACCTGTGATGCAAAGAAACTGAGTGGGTCGGGTTGGGAAACTTGGTGAGTACATAGGGTTTTCAACCCACAACATTATAATCTTTAATTATATATTCTTCAACATTCAAATAACCCAATTACCCCACTCCTGTTATTCTCACTTACTAATCCTAATATGATGATTTAGAGGGATCTTTCTTAAAGGACCTTTATCAACAGACAACTATAACTCCTAGATGATTAGGCACCGCATATGATATTACTTTGGGTAAACACGGTAACACGACAATAGATTAGTACTTTGGATAGTCACGACAGTACAATAGTACTTTGATTTAGCACGACAGTACAATAATACTTTGGTTTAGCACGTCAGTACATTAGTACTTTGGATAGACATGGTAGAAACGACTTATTATTTTGCACACTTCTCATAACCTATCACAACTACTATCTCACACGGCTCTAGTACGACCTCTCGTTTATTATTTCACACAGTCCATTACTACCCAATCTTATTATTAAGTGTGATAAAGTATAGATAGTTTAACCAAGTAATAACTATATCATGTTGCACATACATATTAAACACATCAAGACAACGAACATAACATTTAAGCAATTAGAATACTTGTATCTATGTGTAAGTTTGAAAGTAATTATGCACACACCTGATAAAAGTGACTGACGATTTTGGCAGCGCTTCGCTTAGTACTTTGAAAAGACCTAGACGCATAAAGTGCTAAGCCTTAGTCTAGTTTTGTAATCCCGGTGACTTTAATTATTATAGTATGGATTCCTCACTAATCCTAATGTTTACATCAAGATCTATCAAGTAAGGATTAGCTATACAGTACAGTTAGGAGGCATGATCATTTCGGCATAATAGCTTTTCTGAAATCCAACAACCAAGCCAACGTGACCATTCTAGAAACCTTTTCTCTAAGTAGATCAATCAATATAATGACTTCGAATTAGTGATAAATCTTATTTATAGGTTCATAATAATGACTTATGACTATAAATATACGTTACACTGAAAACAGAAGAGTGTAGCTTAACTTACAAAGTTTTTAAGCGAAAATATGTGGACAGAATCCCGAACCGAATACTCCTTCTAGTCGGGCTCCGAGAGTTCCCTAGACTCTACTAAAATATTCCTAAAAGTTGAGAGAAAAACCTACTTGAAAGCTTAGAGAGATTAGAGAGAGATATGAAGGAAATGGTGAGAAAATGAGTAACATTCGACAGCTATATATAGCCATTTAACTGAAGCGCACCACACAAGGGCCAGGGCGAGTCGCGCCTAGTAGCCTTGTTGGCTCCTCCAGCTTCATGTCACGTGTCGCTGCCTAATTGCCCCGCGTCCCTTGCTTCCAGAACATGCTACATGGAAAATTTTTGTGGAGCCACGTGTCGCAACCATGTGATGCCATGTCACCTTGACCTTTGGAGGAGGGGAGAGGTCGACTTGCCACGTGGCGCTCTCTGGCGCTGCCACATCATCACCGTGTGCCAGGCGTCGTGCCCGTGTAAATTTCCAGATTTTCAAAATCGTATAATTTCTTTATACAAACTCCGTTTTCGACGTTCTTTATATCACCAAAAATATATTGACAAGATTTACAACTTTCATTTAGACTCCATCTGCTAATTCTGACTTTATTTTTAAAGCTATATTTTAAACTGGTTTAAACTGTTAAGTCTGTTTAAAAATTCATAACTTTTTCATATGATATCCGTTCTCGACTGTCTTTATATCAACGAAATAATATGGACGGGATCTTGAACTCTCATTTAGATTGTTTTTTCCTAACAATCAACCGATCTCCACTTTGGTTTCTGAGCCGTATACTGTTGCGTTGAAACTTCGAAAAATCATAACTTCCTGTTACGAAGTCAGATTTGGACGTTCTCTATATGCATGCTCTCGTTTTAACGGTCACTACGACTTTCATTTAGATGACTAAGGTTAAACATTAATTTATCAAAAATTTAATTTTTACGATACGCAGAGTCATGTCGGTTTAATCGCGAAATTCAAAGAAGCATAACTTCTTCATATGAAGTCAGATTTAGCCTTCTTTAGATGCACAAAATCCTTGTCACATATACTATAACTTTTGTTAAGATTATTTGTGCTAAATAATCTTCTATCAAAAAGTCATCTTTAACGCTTATTATCTTTAAATTGAGTAGCCCGAATCTACGGGCGTTACAAAGAACAACAAATTAATGAAGAGAAATGTTGAATTGAAAAACTAACCAACTGGAATTGATGAGATCTCACCAATTTGGGGCAAAAACTTTACAAGGTCTAGATACATGAAATGCGTAAGGGTGATGAATCTGATTGTTCGTTTCATCACCTTTTGTTTTCGTCAGAACCACTCTCTGATTTGCTATTGTTATTGGTTGCAAAATCAACTCTGGATAATTTGTCAACACTAAATTTAGAAATCAAAATAGAGAGAGGTGAAGATAGATGGGGTGTAGAATAGGGCTCATCGTCCGATTCTCTGTAATGGTTGGAGAAATAGGTATATATAGGGTTCTGGAAATTTGAAGTGACAGATCTTGTAAGCATTATACTGATAGAATAAAGGGAAACCCTAAATCGATTTCAAGGTTTTTTGAGATGCGAAAGAACTGAAACAAATCTTGAAAAGTAGGGTTTCTTTGAAGTGATAAATGGATTATTTCGTAATATGGTCGATCGATTTCAGTACCAGATGAGCTTGGTTCCGATCGATCAATTTTAGTTCCACATGAGATTTGAAGTCGAAAATTAGAAAGAGGGTTTTTTATTTGGTTGATCGAGAATCCATCTTTCTAATAGTTCTAGCTTACGTCGATTTGTGATGAGAAGGTTATGGACAAATGGTTTTAGTGAAAAAAGTTATAAAGCGACGGGTACACTTGACACACTAATTTGATAGGTGCCTTCCGTGTGTGTGTGTGTGTGTGTTTTGAAACTAATTTTAGGACACTCAAAAATTCGTGTCCTAAACCCTTAAAATTTTGGTAGAGCTGATGTTATTTTTAGGGCACATAGTTTTGCATATCATAACACCAGTACGTGTCATGGTTCGCATGTCATCAAAGGTCTGTTTTCTACTAGTGAACTCAATGACAGGCTAATCCGAAACCGTACCGAGACTCCAAAAACCTACAAAACACCTTATGAAAAAAAAGTACTAAATACGATTCAAGATAAAGAAGTGATAGAATATGCAATGCAATAACAATAAAAATGCTAAAATAAACTACATAAAAGAAGTAAATAAAACAAACTATCAGCGCTGCCCTCGGACCTCGATGTTTTTGAGTCCTCTTTAGTTATCTGAGTTTGCACCTCGCACCTTTTATCTGCTAGATATATGGTGTTTCGATTGCTCAGATTCACTAAGAGTCGCGTTGTATTTTCAGATTGAAATACTTCGATGGTACAATCGGAATTCAACTGAAAATTAGTGATTTCTAGGACAAAGAATGAAGAAAAATATGATCTTCTTGTCTACGAGATTCGAATGACTAAAACCGGGATATAACTACCGTCTAAAAACTAATGAAAAACTATTGTATAGCAGTTTCATAACCATCATGTAACTGACATAAAAATGAGTCTACATATAGGGTCAAAAAACCGGTTTTGAAACACACAAAACCGCCAAGGGTTGCCACCCTTTGGACCCCGCTACCAGGGGTGTTGCCCCTTGACCCCCGTGGTTCAGGGGCTTCACCCCTAAATATCAGTTTATTTTAAATCATAATAAACTTAAACAAGTGTGCATTCTACACCACCCTTACTTGTTCAATATTTATTAAGATTACATCGGTCAACAAGTTAATCTTATTACACTTAAATAATATTGGTGATACAAATCACCAACACCGTCTCCGAATATAATCAAACGAAAATTATCATGTCTCGAATAGAATTCAAACTACATACAGATGTATCGATGACACTAAAATCGCCAACATTAAAAATCTCATGTAGTATCTCTGAGTGATTAAATTTGGTCATAGTTTTAGCGAGATGTTCATTTCTTGGTTTTGTTAGCTCGTTTGTAATCATAGCTTTATTTATCCGATTAATAAAATCTCATCCTCCTCTTTTGTGGACGTGTACACCATCACATTAATGGTGGAACCATGATAAATTATTGTATATTTTAGTTTGGTTGATTTTATTTGGTATTTTGTTTGACAAATTGGATTTAGTTTTTCTCTATTCCGTTTCATTATTTGTTATTCATCCGGATGTGAATGTTTGAGTTACACTAGATTCCAACAATGACAAAAGGCACCATATTTCCAAACATAATAGCCCATACCAATATACCATAACGTATTGCGTTTGTATATTCACTTAAGAACATCAACAATAGTATCTTACAAGCATTTATTCCAATTTTTTTGAATCCATGATCACATATGGGATGAACATGTATCTAATTGCCTTTTATATATATCATATATATATATATATATATAGAGAGAGAAAGAATGTATTTTAAATATTTTGTAACGTATATTTAGTCTTAGAAGACAATATCTTTCGTTTTAACTTGTGGAGTAACATAATAATCGACTGTTTTCTCCCACCAAAATCCTCTTTCAATGTAGGTCTCATGAAAACTTGCTTCTTCGGTATCTTTGATACTTAGTGCAATCATGCTTCTCGTCCCATAACGACCCTGATGATCAAAAAATCGAATTTAATTAACTGAGTCAAGAACTTTATTATGACCTTTAAGTTTTAATTAGAAAACATGTAATACATACCAACGGGGTGTCTACTTCAACAAATATTGAGCTTAGATTATGCTCCCAATCAATGGAACAAATATTAGGAAGTTGACTCTTTTCGGCTTTCATGGTGTCTCTCATTAGTTTGTCCATCATATCCTTCATGGGTATATCTTCGTCTTTATCATATGCGCTAAGCAACTTTTTAAAATTAAATTTCAAACGTTGAGCCTGAGAGAATATCATAATGATTCAAATTAAACTCATTTTTTAAATAAATGAGTTAGAATTTTCCTATCTAGCTTTTTATGTTCATGGATTCGCATAAAATTAAAATAGAGTGCATGCTAATTAAGAATTTGAGACCTTTGGCCAAGAGGAGTCGAGCTTGGCATTGGAGAGGACATGGATGCCTGGTTGAACCTGTTGAACAGTTGGAGGTTCACTTTTTGGTCTATTTGATATATAAAACATCGTGTTTGAAGAAAGGTCAAGGGTTATGAGGTTGAACCCATTGTACTCATGAACCTCCTTCACCAATTCCTTTGCAAATTCCTCTGGACTCTTATTGCTCTACAAGTAAAGTTCATCACATATGAGATTTGACAAATTATATATTCGTAGAAAATACTTTATCCTCTTTAAGTTTTATGTTAGGAAACGTGCATTTAAGATTAATGTTTAAAACATATATATGTAAATTTAAAATCATATAAGACTTACGATTACCTAAGTGGAATTTGGTAGCTGGTTCCTTATTTAGGTTGTGTTTGGCGCGTCACAGATAGCTAATAAACTAACTTATTTTTCGAGACTTGTTATAGTTGTTATGTTTGACAAACAAAAAAGGATTATAAGCTAGCTTTTTAAAAAAGCTACTTACACTAAGCTTTTTAGGATTTTTTTTTATAATTTACAAATAGACCCCTTAATTAATTATAGAAACACATTTTTTAAAATTTCGTTTTAGGTCATTTTATCTATTTCAGCTAGTTTTATAAAACGTTATTTTTTATCAATTAGTTTTCAGCTACCAGTTAACTTTTTACTTAATAGTTAGCTTTTTAGTTATCCGCTAATTTTTCAGCTAACAACTAACTTTTCACCTAATATGCCAAACATAGCTTTAATATACGTTTTCTTATTCGAGTATAGGAAAACAAACCTCCAAGAAACGAAGTGGAAGGTCTCCTCTAGTTTTGGCTTCCGGGCGAGTGTGAAGCTCCAAGACGTTAGTAAGGAATGACACTCTTCCTCCCCTCGTACAAGCCAACCATGTTCCTCCGGCAACCTCATCTCTACCACCCAATATCTCTCCACCCTCCCACCACTCAACCGCCTTTGTTGGACTTTCATCAGTAATAACGACAATAAAATAAGATACTAATTAATGCACATATAAACAGAAAGTACGAGCTTACAACAACTTTTTGTTAGTAGCCACATGAATTGTAAGTGATCTAATTGTATATTATAAAAAAATTGGTTTTAAGATTTTAATTTATTACATAAAATGTAGGGAAATTAAGTAATCTTAACCATTATTTAATATGTATTTGAAGAAAATAACAAAAAAAATACCAAAAATAACCATTTGGTCCGGAATAGGCATTTCGGACAAAAAAAATATATTTTTTTTTGACAAAAAAGTAAATTTCAGACTAAATTCCGGACCAATAATAATGATACTATTAAATATGCATAAATAACTAGGTAAATAATAATGATACTATTAAATATGCATAAATAACTAGGTAAATATGCAGTTAACAATTATCCATAAGTCAATTGAAATTGGAAACAGGGCCTAACAAAGCGATAAAGAAAGAATAGCATACGATTCTATGTTTATGAATCACTATATCCCAAATATCTTTGAGTCACTATATCCGAAATATCTTTGAGTTTATCACACCAAAATCAACAAAATCCCCAAATTAGAATCAAACCCTAACAAAGTTCGAAGATTTCCAATGGTACTTATCCGATACTTCAATTTTGAATCAAGTCTGATTTCAATAACAGTAGCATATCAATTTCTACAAAACACAGGGAAACAAAAACAAATTGAAGAATGTGACATCCCCATTTTTACGGTCCGAAGAGACCGATTTGTTTATGCTTATTAAATCAGAGTATTCTTTTAAAAAGATTAATTATGTGGAAGTTTTCCTACAAACATGATAATATTATTATCAAATCATTTTCGAAGAAGAGTGTTTTATTTATAAAACTCAGGATGTCATCGTTAATACATAAACATAAGCATAATTGAAGACTTACTACGTTTCATTACACTAACGGTCTACACATCCTTGAGTCTCCCAGTAGATACATACATCATTATCCATATATAATTACCCGTGATGCAAATAAACTGAGTGGTCGGGTTGGGAAACCTGGTGAGTACATAGGATTTGCAACCCACAATATTATAATCTTTAATTATATATTCTTTAGCATTCAAATAACCTGTTACCCCACTCTCGTTATTCTCACGTACTAATCCTAATATGATGATTTCGGGGGGGATATTTCTTAAAGGACCTTTATCAGCAGACACCAACAACTCCTAGATGATTAGGAACGACAATATGATAATACTTTGGGTAAAAATGGCAACACGACAGTATACTATTACTTTGGATAGTCACGGCAGGCACGACAATATAACAATACTTTGGTTTAGCATGGCAGTACAATAGTACTTTGGTTTAGCATGACAGTACATTAGTAATTTGGATACACGCGACATACATGACTTATTATTTTGCACAATTCTCACTAACCAATCACAACTACTATCTCACACGACTCTAGTACTACCTCCCGTTTATTATTTCACACAACCCATTACTACCCAATCGTATTATTAAGTATGATAAAGTATAGATAGTTTAACCAAGTAATAAATATATCATGTTGCACGTACTTATTAAACATATAAAGACAACATACATAGCATTTAAGCAATTAGAATACTTGTATCTATGTGTAAGTTTGAAAGTAACTATACACTCACCTCATAAAAGTGACTGGTGATTTTGGCAGCGCTTCGCTTCGTACTTTGAAAAGACCTAGACACATAAAGTGCTAAGCATTAGTCTAGTTTTGTAATCATGGTGATTATAATAAATATAGTCTAGATTCCTCACTTATCCTAATGTCTACATCAAGATCTATCAAGTAAGGATCAACCAGACTAAAAAGTTGGGAGGCAGGATCATTTCAGCAAAGTAGCTTTTTTGAATTCCAACAACCAAGCCAACGTGACCATTCTAGACACCTCTACCGTAATAAGATCAATAAGTATAATGAATTCAAATTATTGATAAATCTTATTTATAGGTTCATAATAACGACTTATGACTATAAACATAAGTTACATTGAAAACAAAAGAGTGTACCTTAACTTACAGAGCTTTTAAGCGAAAACGCACATACAAAATCTGACCGAATACTCCTTCAAGTCGGGCTCCGAGAATTCTTTAGACTCTACTAAAATATTCCTAAAGGTTGAGAGAAAAACCTACTTAAAAGTTTAGAGAGATTAGAGAGAGATATGAAGGATATGGTGAGAAAATGAGAAACATTCGACAACTATATATACCCGTTCAGCTGAAGTGCGCCGCGTAAGGGCCACGACACGCCGCTCCTAGTAGCCTTGTTGGCTCCTCCAGCTTCATGCCACGTCATCAGTGCGCGCCGAACGCCGCGCATGTGCAAATTTCCAGATTTTCGAAATGACGTAACTTCTTTATACAAGCTCCATTCCGACATTCTTTATATCCCCAAAAAGTTATCGACATGATATACGAATCTCATTTAGACTCCATCTGCTAATTTTGACTTTATTTTTAAAGCTATATTTTAAACAGGTTTAGACTGTTAAAGTCTGTTTAAAAATTCATAACTTTCTCATACGATATGCGTTCTTGTCTGTCTTTATATCAACGAAATCATATGGACGAGCTCTTCAACTCTTGTTTAGATTGTTTTTCCTAACAATCAACTGATCTCTACTTTGGTTTTTGAGATGTGTAATGTTGTGCTGAAACTTCGAAAAATCATAACTTCCTCTTACGAAGTCATATTTTGACGTTCTCTATATGCATGCTCTCGGTTTAACGAATACTACGACTTTTGTTTAGATGACTAAGGCTAAAAAGTAATTTATCAAAAATTTACTTTTTACGATACATAGAGTCGTGCTGGTTTAATCACAAAACTTCGAAGAAGCATAACTTCTTCATACGAATAGGATTTTAGCCTTCTTTATATGTACAAAATCATTATCACATATAATATAACTTTTGTTAAAATTATTTGTGCTAAATAATCTTCTATCAAAAAGTCATTTTTAAAGCTTATTATCTCTAAATTGAGTAGCCCGAATCTGCGGGTGTTACAATTTTCTCCCCTTAGAATGATTACGTCCCGGAATTATCAACAAAACGGGGCTTGTATAATGACTCCTCACGTTACCTTTCTCTCTTAGGTAATAACCGTAATTCTTATGTCTTTTCAATCGAGTTTCTAACCTTTAGACTTATTGGCCGTTGATGGTGTTGTACTTGCTTTTGCTCTTCCTTTGAAATTCGATCTTCATTGAAGACTCCTGCTCTTTCCAGAATAGACTTAAAATAAATTAAGGCCCTTAATTCTACTACCTTAACAAACCAATGGGTTATGTTCTAATGACCTCTCATCGTATGATGCAACGGTTAGACTCAGGTCTCTTTGATTCAAACTCTATCATGAAAGATACATTCCTTCATGTTCTAATGTGATATAGTCACATTTTGTCATGTAGCACTTCTAGCTACACGCTGCTTACTAACTGCTTCAATTATCCTTTCCTTCAATCTAAAGTCGGACACTACGTCGAACTTACTTTATAGATTAGTCAGACTTGATTCGATACGACCACTAGGGTCGGAATAATACTTATCTTCAAAGTCATTATCAGAGCGAAGGTAATGATGGAAATGAACAAATTAGCTCAACTACTTAGATACTTTAGTAACTTGGCGACTTTCCCTGATCCAAGTGTGAGTCCTGTGCTTCTGGTAGTATAGGCTTCTACTACCTTTCACACCTACTCATACTCGTCCCAAGTGTTGTCTCGTAGTCCCTAAGTCACCATACAAGAAGATCATACAACAAGTTAACACATTTAGTCATGTAACATAATTAGGGATTATATTACTTATTGAAAACGATTACAAGATTTATCAATACTATATTCCTATTACAGCAGGCCACAAACCCTGATACTACTCGCTTATCTCCTTCCCTCAAGTACTCCAGACAAGCAGCTCCAAATTCTCGCCCTCTTGTTTCCTCATCAAGCCCATCTTTTTTCCTCATCAAGCCATATAAAATATGCCCTTCTTCCTTATACTCAAAACACATCCTTTCGTTGTAGCGGCACTCTTCAGAATAGTGACCAGGTCTTCCACACTTGTAGCAGGCCACTTCTCTTTTGCATTGCCCATCATGCTTCTTCTTGCATTTATTGCACCACTCTGCTTCATTTTACCCTATACTTATTGTCGTTGGGTTCATACCTTGAGATTTATCTTTTCTTATTGAACTTTTAGTGTCCTTAACCTCTCCTTTTCTCGTTAACCTCAATCTTGTTGGCAATTCGCTGCTTGATCATATCTTCCATAAACTTTGTTGCCCAAACGGTTACTTCAAAGGTAGGTTCCAGCTTAACTGGCACAATGTACTCCCATGGTAGCCCCTTCGCGTACCTATCAATTCCTATCTAGTTCGTCCGGGACAATGTGCATACCGAACTCCATCTTATCGGTGAAGGCATTAATGTACTCTTCCACAGTCGAACTCCCATTCTTCAAATTCAGGAATTGGTTCTCCAGCTCCAGTATGTTCCGAGCAGAATAATACTTTCGTTTGAAATGCACCAGGAACTCTGTCCATGTCACTTCCAATGGCTTGTTTGGGCTTAATATCTTTCCCAATGTGTTCCACCAACGAACAGTTGATCCCTTAAATTGTCTTACCACGTAGGTGGTTTGAAACTTTCATGTGCAACCGCAGATGATGAATGTTTGATCCATCTCCGAAATCCAGTCCATAATTCCCATCGGGTCTTCTTTTTCGGTAAAGGATGAGGGTTTGCAAGTTATAAGGTCCTTATACTTGCATCCGTTCTTATCAACCCCTTCATCCGGGTCATTCCTCCTAATTACTTGTGGCTCAACTTGACTCATGATTCTGCTATAGTTTCCTTCCTCTGACTGACCTTCATTCGGTTAGGGCTATACAACAGACATAGAGGGTTCTCTTCTGTTCACTTGGATGAACTGTCTCATTTCATACATGGCTCT